GCCTCAGCCTCCCAAAGTGCTGGTATTACAGGTGTGAGCCACAGCACCGGACCTAAAAAACAATTTAAATAGAGATGGAGCCTCACTATGTTGGCCAAGGTGGTCTCGGGCTCCTGGCCTCAAGTGATCCTCCTGCCTCAGCCTCCCAAAGTGCTGAGATTACAGGTGTGAGCCACTGTGCCTGGCCACTGCTAACACCTTGATTTCAGACTTCTGGCCTCCAGAAGTGTGAGAGAATACATTTCTATTGTTTTAAGCTATCTAGTTTTTGGAACTTTATATGATAATCCTAGGAAACTAATACAGATATATATTGCATGGTTCTAGTTATGTAACAACCATAAAACAACATAATTATAATGACAGAGAACATGTGAGTGGTTGCCAGGGGTAGGGATGAAAAAACGATCGACGTGGCTATAAAGGGCAACACAGGAATCGGTGGTGATGGCACAGCAGAGGATTCTGACTGCAGTGATGGTGATGCAAGGCTGTACATGTGACAAAACTGCACAGAAGCGCATGCACACACACACACAGAGTGCACACAAGGATGTTGAAACCTGAATGTGCTCCATGGATTGTGCCTGTGTCAGTTTCTTGTTTTTTTTTTTGTTGTTGTTGTTGAGACGGAGTCTCACTCTGTTGCCCAGACTGGAGTGCAGTGGCGTGATCTCGGCTCACTGCAAGCTCCGCCTCCCAGGTTCACGCCATTCTCCTGCCTCAGCCTCCCAAGTAGCTGGGACTACAGGCGCTTGCCACCGCGCCCAGCTACTTTTTTTGTATTTTTAGTGGAGACAGAGTTTCCACTAAAAATTAGCCAGGACCATTAGCCAGGATGGTCTCGATCTCCTGACCTTGTGATCCGCCTGCCTTGGCCTCCCAAAGTGCTGGGATTACAGGCGTGAGCCACTGCGCCCAGCTGGTTTTGGTTTTTACTGTGGTTACTGTGGGTGTGGGATATTAACATGGGGGTGGAGGGGTGCACCAGACTCCCCGGTATATTTCTTTGCAATCTACTGTGAAACTATAATTATTACAAAATAAAAGTTAAATATGAAAACTATCTTTTTCACCTTCATGACTTAGTCTTTAGTGTAATATAAATACAACTGAATCTGTTTTTTTTTTTTTTTTTTTTGAGACAAGGTCTTACTCTGTCACCCAGGCTGGAGTGCAGTGGTGCAATCACAGCTCACTGCAGCAACCTCCTGGGCTCACAGGATCCCCCCACGTCAGCCTCCCAAGTAGCTGAGATGATAGGTATGCAGCACCATGCCTGGCTAATTTTTTATTTTTTTGTAGAGATGGGGTTGTGCTTTGTTGCCCAGGCTGGTCTGGAACTCCTAGCCTCAAGAGATCCTCTAGCCTCAGCCTCCCAAAGTGCTAGGATGACAGGTGTGAGCCACCACACCTAGTCTAGGTCTGTTTTTATGGCTCGAGTTCCAGCAGTGACTCATGGTGCCATTCTGAAAGTCACCTCTCACTGCCAAGGATGCAGGCCACTGGCTTCACTATGGACTGGCCCCAGGACTCAGTTTATTTCAATTCCTTCTTGAGATAGCTGGTTTCTGGTGATTCTCTTACAAAAGCAGACTACAGGAGACAGACAGAATTTCAGTGGATCATGGAACCTGTTCCATTGGGTTCCAGGCCTTTGACTGTTTTGTGGCTATAGGACCACTGATTCCTAGGCACACATGCCCACTGGAAGTCATGCTCACTGAAAGCTGCACTTGCACTGGTGGGAGCCTGTTTTTCGGATAGGAGGTAATTAACATATCTTCTCTACTTCCCTGAGGGAGGACCCCTTCACAAGGCAAGGTGGATGACCTGCTTCACTCTTGGTCTTTCTCTGCCCCAGAGTTCCCCTCCAACTGGTTTTGGTGCAAGCATTTTGACATCTGCTTTCTTTACTTTCAATCTCAGTCTCAGCCAGAGGGCCATGGGCAGGAGTGTAAGCTGCAACTGCCATGTGGCTGCTATGAGGACAGCATTCTCCCTGTGGGTGAATGGCACCTTCACAGAGAGCCACAGCCTGGCCCATGACCCAGAAGAGCAGGAATGTGCCAGATGTCAAGGGCATCCCCACACACACTGACCCTTCTCAAGGTGAGCAGAGGAACGTGAAGGCAGTCTTAGGTCTCCTCAGGCTTGGAAAGTATGAGACATAGTACATGCCCTGCCTCGTCCTTGCTGGGAGCCCTATCCTCCTATCTGCTGAGCCGGACACTGGGGTGCTCACAGGGAGTACCACTGAGGGACTCATGTCAGTCATTCTCTAATTCTTCATGAGAGGCACTGATCAGCTGTCAAATGATGAAAAGGGGAACAGATGAAGAGAAAACAAACGAAAAAGGGTATTTTAAAACTCCTAAATTCATCCTAGAACAATCCAATATGGTGAGAGAATGTCGCATTCATTTGACAGACAAGGACATGAGACAATGTGGTGAAGTACCTGCACAAGCTCAGCCAGTGCAGCTCAGCCAGTGTTGCGTCCCTGCTCCACCCCCAGGGCTCCAGGTAACTGAAGGACTGTGGAGTCAGGAAGCACCATGGGACACTGGGCTGAGTAAGTTTAGGAAACCCATGCCAGGCTCCACCAAGGTTTGGTTGTGTGTATCAGAGATAGCAGATACCAGGCCTAGCCTTGGTCTCCTCCACTTGGAATTAAGAACAGTGACACTATTGCTGCTAAAATGATATATACATGAGAATGGTTGGAAAATCTGAAAAATCTCTCACAGAAATTAAAGGTGAAGTATTGATAATAAAAAATAAAGAGCTAAATGTGGTTCATTTATATTCACAACTCAGCCCTCTGATTTCCTTTCTGGGGACAACACTCTATGCATTGGCAAGCACTAGATAATCCACAGGTTAAGCTGCAGAAACACACACACACTTTCTGCAGAGAAGGAAAGGAAAGGCAATTGACAGTTACTAGCATATCACCTAAAGCACACTCCTTACATCTGAAATGTAAAAATTAAATTGAGATAAAGCCTTAAAGTTCTTTCATATGATGATCATATGTATCAGCGCTGTGTTCTTGCACAGCACCTATGGCATCCTTAGGTAACAAGCTTGCACCCTACTCGGTGGCTGTCAGTAGATGGCCCTCCCTGTCTCCTCTCCCTGACACACACCACAGTGCACGTTCAGTACAACCTACAGGATGCCAGGAGACACAAGGGTTGTTTTTTTTTCTGCGTCACAGTTCCTGTGTCCTCCAGCCATGCTCAGTACCTGAAGAACATGAGCAAACCAAGGCCTGTGGGCTAATCCAGCCTGCCCCCTGCTTATGTGTGGCCTGTAAGCTAAGCGTGGTTTTTATATTTATTCAAGGTTCTTACATTTTTAAATGGTTAAAAAAAACCCATAAGAATACTTTGTGACAAGTAAAAATTAAGTTAAATTCAAATTTTGGTGTCTGTAAATAAAGGTTTCTGAAACACAGCCCTGCTCATTCATTTGTGAATGACAACATGGCTGCTTTTGCACTGCAAGGTGGAGCTGAGTAGTTGCTATGAAAACCATACAACCCAAGAAGCCTAAAATATTGACTATCTGGCTCTTTACAGAAACAGTCTGTCCACTACTCCTGATGCAGATGGAAGAGGAGCTGATTTAACATGCTTGTGATAACAATGATTTAATGATACTTGTATATATGCAACTCATCAAGAACTTGACTAGAAGTTAAGAAACATATTCTTTTAGTCACTCTCTTGTTCTTCCACTAAGAATGTCAGAGAAATGCAAAGAATTTGTTCAAAATAAATGCACAACAGAAAATAACTCTGAATAATTTAAGCGGAAGAGAAAGGCTCCAAAACCAGGCAGCTGAATTGGGTTGTATGCAAGCATGAATGCTTTGTAGAGATTCATAACAAGCATGTAAGGGGAAATGGCACAAGGTCTGGGTGTGCTTTAGCATATTTCATCAGCAAAAAGAAAAGTGAGGGGTGTGAGTGTCAGATCTTGATAACCAGGCATAGTATGATTAGAAGACAGCCCCTGGTGCCACCCCCACCACTGTCCCCTGACTCAAGGTGCACTGGGGCACCTGGCCGAGGTTGCTGGCTGAGGTGCCAGCCTCCTGCCCTCCCTTGAGACTCCTTGCTGGGCAATTCCTGGGTATTTTGGCCTGGCTGGTGGCTGGTGATCCACTGACAGCCCAGGTGAGTGCAGGCATCTGGGGCCTGGTTTGCTCCACTCATACACACCCTCAAGGAGGCAATGTGTGTGGCACTCACTCTCTCCTGCACCATGGCAGATGCACCCAGTGCACATTGCCTATGAGTGGATAAGAGTTTAACAAATAGGATGTTCTCAATCTCTCTTGGATGATTAGATCTACATATTCCTCCATAAGGTAAGGGCCAGCAGAGGTTTCTTGCAGAATGTAGTCCATGCATTCAAACTGGCAAGCAGGTCTCCTTCCCTCCTCCACTCCTAGCTGATTGATAGCACGCTCCTCTAGGCCGCTGCTCCCTAGAATAGGCCGAGGCCTCATAGGGACGATGGAGGTGGGATGGGAGGGCTTTCAGTTTCAAAGGCTCTAAAAGTCCCCAGAAGTAGCTGAGCTCAATCCTGAGATTACCATTTCCACCACATAAATGAGGTTTCTGCATCTCTTTCCTTTCTTCAACCTGCCTAAGTGTCAGGAAAGAATGAAAATTATTGGGCTGAGAAGCTTTGGGGACAGGGTTGTACCTGGGTGTCTTACACCCCAGTGCTTAGCACAGTGGCTGGTAGTCCGCACCTGTAAAAGGAATGGATTTACTGCCACTTCAGTATATGGGGCATACTTAACTGGACTTTAAAAACGCTTTTCTGTTTTGGCAATCTATTAATTTCCAAAGGAGACTGCCCTTTCACAAACCTCTAACACCGTGTGTGTGTGTGTGTGTGTGAGAGAGAGAGAGAGAGAGAGAGGGGCTGAGAGATTGAGAGAGAGAGAGAGAGACTGAGAGATTGAGACAGATTATTACCTGTGGTCTTTGGTAAATCACCCTGGCATAGAAACTGCAACGGGTACCAAGATCATTCATCTGGAAAGGAATTAGAAAAGGTTGGCAGCATTACACAAAGCACACAGACACAGCTAATACCTAAATAACTTGTTAGAAACAAAAACATTACCTGGATAATGTCTCTTAAGCAGCGGGTAACTGGAGGCTGGTAAAGCTTATAAATGGGGTCTCCGTCAATTATATCAATTTGTCCCAGATTTGGATGAGCTGTGAGGATGTAACATAAGGCTGGAGGAGGCAGATGAGTTTTTATCTGTTTACATGAGGCAAAAGCAGAAGGTGAATGTATTGTTAAAAGACTCAAGCACATGATTAAAATCTCCTCTTTAATATATACATACTCGCTTACAGATGCATCCTGTCTCTGGAATGCTATACAAGGAATGGATTGCATTGTTTACTTCTGGGACCAAGTATAAGAACTTCCATACTTATGAACCTATTAATTCAAGATTTCATTTTAGAAATCTTTCAGGTTATACTGAAAATATCATCTAGAAATTACTTCCCCTTAAGTAATCTAGAAATGGCTTTTTTTTTTGTTTTTTGAGACAGAGTTTTGCTCTTGTTGGCTGGATTGCAATGGTGCCATCTTGGCTCACTGCAACCTCCGCCTCCTGGGTTCAAGTGATTCTCCTGCCTCAGCCTCCTGGGTGCTGGGATTGCAGCCATGCACCCCAATGCCCAGCTAATTTTGTATTTTTAGTAGAGACAGGGTTTCTCCATGTTGGTCAGGCTGGTCTCGGACTCTCGACCTCAGGTGATCCGTCCGCCTCGGCCTCCCAAATGCTGGGATTACAGGCGTGAGCCATTGTGTGTTTTGACAACTACTATGCTGTTTGGCACAGTACAGGGTCACAGACTTAGCACTACTAAGAAGTCAGCCACAACCTAAGGAAGACAGCCTCAGTTGTTTTGGAAGCTCTGGCCCAAAGCAGCAGCTGGTTAACCTGCTGGAAAAGGCTCAGGAGGGAGGAGGGAACACTTTTCATTCATTTTGCTTCTTCTGAGACACTATCATAGACAAGCAGGGCAATGGAAGTTCCTGGCTACCCAGGACGTTGTACGAATGTCTATGGATTGTATTGAGTTCCTGCTCCAATTGGTAACTGAGTGTTGGTTCTATGAGTGACTAGAAGTTCGTGGGAAAAATTCTATATGTTTGCTTTAGTATGAGGCTGAGACCCCAATTGTTCCAACAGTATATGAGGGTTATGGTTTACGCATTCATCATAAGTTAACTTCAAGAAAATGTTGTGCAGCACAGTAGGGAAGGCAGCCAGAGCTTGGTCTCCAGGACCTGAATCCCAATCCTGGCTCATATTCATGCGTCACCACAAAGGAACTGGCTGCACAGGGGCTCCTTGTTGCCACTGGAGTGGGGGACACAGACCATGTGGGTGGCAGTGATGATGCCTGGCTTGGCACCTGGCATGGAGTAGTCCGCAACTGGGGAAGTTTTTCCAGTGCCGGGCTTACCTCTTCACAGGGCTGGTCGCGGCCAGGTGTTTTCAGAGGTATCGCTGGGGGCCACAGGGTGTCAATCAAACTAAAAATCCCCGCTGTCCTGGAACAAGGAAAGTTAAAGGTATTCATCATCAGACATCCCTTACTGAGTACTAGGCCAGTGAGCTGGTAGAATGCTTAACAGCCTCTAATGCCTAAGGCCATGGAACTACAATTTGAGATGTGAGGCGATTCAGATGGGGAAGAAAGAAGACACACAGACAGATGGACAGACACTAAATCAATTGCACAACAGGAACTTGCTCACTAAATTAGGATCCATCCACACAGTGAAATATTATACAGTCACTGAAATGGTTACAAAAAAAATATTTATGGACATGGAAACACGTTTGTGACACCCTGCTAAGAAAAAAGTAGGCAACAAATTAACTCTCTCACTGTGTGTGTGTGTGTGTGTGTGTGTGTGTGTATGTATGTGTATCTATGCATGCATCTATATATATATTAAGCCAAAGGAAAAGACTGAAGCCTATAAGAATGTTTTTAGTGGTTATCTGAGTAGAGTTTGAAGGTGATATTTACTTTCTTCCTTTGAATTGGGCATTTTGTATATTTTTCCCAAACAGATATGTACTACATGTAAGAAAAGTTATCTGAGCTGGGTGTGGTGGCTCATGCCTATAATCCCAGCACTTTGGGAGGCTGAGGCGGATGGATCACCTGAGGTCAGCAGTTCGGGACCAGCCTGGCCAATATGGTGAAACCCTGTCTCTACTAAAAATAGAAAAATTAGCCAGGCATGGTGGCAGATGCCTGTAATCCCAGCTACTCAGGAGGCTGAGGCAGGAGAATCTCTTGAACCTGGTAGGCGGAGGTTGCAGTAAGCCGAGATCACGTCATTGCACTACAAGAGCCAAATTCCGTCACACACACAAAAAAGAAAAGTTATCTGAAGTAAAATATATAGAAGGACACAAAAGGACAACAATGTTATGATTTCAGTTATATGGTTCTCACCTTAGATCTGACTGCACTTCCGAGACCTGGCTCTAACCTTTACCTGAGCCCCTTGTTAACAGAGATGGGAAACAGCAGGGCCCCTGGAGTCAAGAAACTCATCTTGCTTAAGCTCTGCCTTTCATACACTGTGAGACCTTAAGAAAATGCTTGAATCTTACATCAGCCCTTCTGGGAAACTGGGGGTTGCTGCTGGCATTATTGCAAGGAGTAAAGGAAGTAAAGAACATATGTGCAGCACCTACTAGGGTTTCTATACTCAGAGTGAGTATCCAACACATTAGCCACTTGATATTACTATAGTTACCAGTATTGTCATTGCTAAAGCCATAAACTTTTATGCTGTTTTTTGCTAAAAAATCTGCCCAGTTTAAGACAGGATTTTAATCCTAGTATTACTTTGTGAAGAAACCGAGTAAAATTAGGAGTATGATAAAAGATGAGTGTAAAAAAAGGTCTTTATACAGTATAGAAAAATAAACAACCCTTTCCAGATAGTGACAGAGTGCTTATCAATTTTCCTAAAATTTTGGAGTTTCCCAAAAAGAGTTCTGTGAAGTGTAACCCATGAGAACAGAACTCCCTGCCTGTTGCTGTGTGGTGCATCTGTGGCTGGCAGGACCCTCACACGCTACCGTGGGACTGGACATGGCGGAGGGCCTGGAGAACCCCGTGTAAAAGGCACCTGTGGCATACTGTTTTAAACTAAAGCTTCTCCCATTTATAACCATGAAACCCTTTTTGGTGTCATCACTAACAATGTCCTGAGAAACTAGTGTTCCCTTGGAATTCTCTTTGAGAAATGCTGTTCGAGAAGCACACAGCCATAGGAAAGTTCTATTTGAATTTAATGACTTTTATTTAGAGGATGGTACCAGCTAATTAAAAAAGTTTAGACACATTATACATTTATATTTAATGCACGACATTTAGCTGAAGAATGGCTATGAGTTAAATAAAATGCTTAGTCTCATAAAAAATCAGCTTCTCAACTGTTTTTAAAAACTATTTTTAAAATAGATAATGGTTTGGATGGCCACTGTTGCCTTGTGAAGCAGAGTTGTCTGGGGCCAGCTAACACATTCAAATGACTCCCACTTCTGCTGGGCATAGACTTGGTGCAGAAACTCACTTTTGGCACAGTTAAAAAGTGTATTGTTCCTCCCACTGCAATTCATTCTTTACTATTCATTTGGTTACACAGGAAACATTCTTTTAAAAAAGTGATCCTTTAAAAATATGTTTAAGAAACAAACAATCTGACAGGGGAGTGGCTACCATAAGTCTGTCTTTTCAAAAATTAATAAACATTTTTATATAAAAGGTTTAAAATGTAAAGTAAATGTTTAGAGAAAAAGGGGACATACAGATTAATTCATTATACTTATGATTTGATAACATCATCATGTTGGAATAAATTTCTTGGGGTATACCTTAATTTATAGATTGGATAAAATGAGTCTGTAGACAAATTTTGGTCATTAATCTGTGACAACAAAAGTTTGTGGAGCAGACAAGGAGAGAAGCAAGGCCAGCTGTCCTACCCACCAGGTCCCCAGTTTGGCAGGCTCTGCAGCAGTTAGCAGCTCTCCCAGCAGCTCCCACAAGACACCCAGAGAGCATGGGTGGAAGTCAACTCAGCTACCCGTCACTGAAGGGAGAGCCATGTTTCCCATCACACTCAGTCACAGTTCATCTGACCTCTAAAAATCAGCTGTATTTGAAGAGCAGCAAGAAGAGGGCTGGGGGGTGGTGCAGAACATGCAAAGGAAGGTGACAGCATGGCACATGGCACAGGCAGGGAACAGGGACAGCCTGGGAGCCTCCTCTGTGCACTCACTTGGGGGCTGCGGCAGACCCATCTGCATGCACAGGCTGTAGAACACGCAGCTGCTCCTGGAGGCGGGAGGAGGGAGGTAGGAGGCCTGGCGGGACCCAATAAGAGCTTTCCTAAAGTCACGCTCAGGAACCTGAAAGACTTTCAGCACTATGTTTTTATTATAGTAACCAGTGTACTTTTTAAGTGGAAAGATATCAAGATCTATATACATGTTAAAATTATATCTACCAAGTTATACTTAAAATGGTTGAAATTACAAATTTTATAGTACGTTATTTTACCATAATGAAAATTATATTTAACATAAAAATAAATACTAAGTGTTTTTTTTTTTCTTTTTTAACAAGGTCTCTTGCTCTGTAATCCAGGCTGGAGTGGCGCAATCATGGTTCACTGAGGCCAACCCTAAGACTGTTTTCGAGTCCTCCACATTCTTTAAAGCAAGGCCACCCCGACATGTGACTAGTCACTGAAGTGTAACAGGCACTTTCTAAGAACATGTTCTCACTTATAAAAAAGCCCTTGGAGACACCCCTCAAGAGAGACAGAGTAAGGATGGGGGCACCACATCACTTACATCTCATGAGGGCCCCATGGAGAGGCTGAGACTGGGCTGTACTGGAGATGACCGGCACGCAGAAGGGGGTCCTGCCAACTCACTTCCTCCAGGGCTGAGCCTGCACACTCCAACCCCATGACACTGCGGGTGATGTGCATTTGCTCAGAAGAATGCTGGCCACAGACTTGGATAGAGAGGATACTGTCCACCTTCTACAGTGGAAATTCCAAATCTCTCTCAGCTTCATCTTCCTCCCTCGTAGGATTCTGTGATTCTCTAATTCCTAGTGCTGCTGCTGTCCCTTGCTGACATGTGCCTCTGTTTGAGGAGGAAAGACGGTTCCAAAGTCTCCAGTGCTAGGTGTGGGTGGTGAAGCAGACACCTTTCTATGCGAGCATGGCAGCATGGGGCGCTAGAAACAGTCAGCCATCTGCGATAAGTGCCTTCTGCAGGCTGACAGGTGAGTTTGGCTGACTGAAGACTTTCTGTGTTACAAAGTGCTCTCTGGTGCAAAACAGAATTGCACCTGAATATTTCCAATCTATTTATAATGAAAAATTTACAAAGACAGAGCCACTAACTTTAATTTTAAAAACAGTTTCAAATTTGTTGTTGTAGTAATTACCAGATCCTTGAGAGAGAAAAAAATATTCTAAACATTATAAAGGATTAGGAATAAACAGATGGAGATATTTACATGAAGCAAAGTTAACTTATTTCTTAGAATGAAAAAAAAAATCAATTTTCTTGCCCGAATTCTGTTTTTGGTAACATATTTTGGAGGCTGTCAAAATCTAAGTAGAAAACAAACCACAAAGGAAGAGGACTAACTTGAGACCATCTTCAGAAAAAATTTACAAATTCAGTTCAAGAGTCGGAAGTGATGTCAAAGGACAGATGTTTCTCCTGAGTAAACTAGAGCCAAGATTTCCCACCGTGCGACAAGAAAGGTGCATGGAAATCAGTAAGCTACACAGATGCAGATAACTTTAACTGGGTACCTCCATTTCCTGAATTCCTAAAAAGGCAGCCCCAGCATCACCCATGAGCTCAGAAATGAGGATGGGGCAAGTCCTGGGGCAATGGAAATCGTCTGCAGACCAAGAAGAGAGTGGGAGTGGCACCATGCCCAAGAGAAGTCTAAGAAATACACAACAGAGGAAGGAAGCAGAGTTCTCGCCTCACTGCCATTGAAACAATGCTAAATTTACATATTTCTACACACATTTTATGGATATTTTGGTGTGGCAAATGATCTACTTCCTCTGGCCTCATTATAGCTGGTATTAATTATCTTGACTGGTAGATGACAAATGTCATTTGAAAAACCAACCATTCAAAGTAAAGGCAACCAAGATTTCCATACTTCAGTCCACTGGAAGAAAGTAAACATGGAAAATCTTGTTTGCACACCAGAACATTAGCTGGTATTATCAATTTGCTTACCTATTCTCTAAGTTATTTCAGGGGTTATTTTTTCCATCTGATACTGTCTCATCCAGCTAACTCTCAAATCTTCACAGGGCAATTTAAAACTGCCTGAACCACTTTCTTTTGGGTGTGGATAGAGTGGAATTTGCTCTAGGAGATTTAAGCCACAATGGTGCTGTGGACAACAGAAAACGGAAAGATAACAAGGAAGCACCTGGCCCATGATGGACTCATCCTCACAGAGCTTGGA